CGCTCATCCGGACTGTATGTAACCCTGCCAAACTCATCTCGAAACCGCTCTCGACCATAAAAGTCTTCAGCTGCAAGCGCGGGAGCGGCAGCGCGGCGATAGCACACTTGGGAGGCATCGCGTTGGAAGGAAATCTGCGCCACACCAGCGCAGAAACCCCGGCGGCGCGGCGCGGAAGCCAAAACGTGACGTGCGTTCAACTCGAGCCAGAGTGTTTACAGTCCTGCTGTAGAGAATATGTTGCTGCGGCCCCGTTCTGCGAAGTGGCCCGCATAGACGCCGCGTTCGGAGACCACCACCTGCGCACCCCCTGTGGTGTCGAGAATATGCCGCGCCTGCCATGCCCTGCGCCATGGGCCGCATCGACGCCCCGCTCGGGGACCATTTTCTGCGCACCCCCGGTGGTGTCGAGAACATGCCGTGCCTGCCACGCCCTGCGCCATGGCCCGCATAGACGCCGCGCTCGGAGACCACCCCCTGCGCACCCCCTACGAGGTCGAGAAAGTGCCACACCTGCCACGCCCTGCGCCATGGCCCGCATAGACGCCGCGCTCGGAGACCACCCCCAGCGCACCCCCCTACGAGCGCACCCCCTACGGGGTGAGGAAAGTGCCACACCTGCCACGCCCTGCGCCATGGCCCGCATAGACGCCGCGCTCGGAGACCACCCCCTGCGCACCCCCTACGAGGTCGAGACAGTGCCACGCCTGCCACGCCCTGCGCCATGGCCCGCATAGACGCCGCGCTCGGAGACCACCCCCTGCGCACCCCCTACGAGGTCGAGAAACTGCCACACCTGCCACGCCCTGCGCCATGGCCCGCATAGACGCCGCGCTCGGAGACCACCCCCTGGGGAGAAATGGGGTCTACTCGGTTTTGGCTTTCCGACGGCCCAGTACGCTAAGAGCGCCCAAGAGGCCTCCACGATGGCCCCAGAAAGGCCCAACAGGCTCCCAAGACGGCCCCAAGGGGGCTCCAAGGCGGTCCCAAATGGCAGCAAAGACGGCCAAGCTGGCATCCAAGACGGCCACGCTGGTCCAAGAGAGCCCTAGTAAATGGCCGCAAGATGTGTCCAAGACGGCCTTATATGCACCCAAGACCACCTAAGATGACCTCAAGATGTCCCAAGAGGCCACCCAGACACCTCAAGACAGCCCAAGAGGCCTCCAGAGGTCCTCCAGGACAGCCCGAAGGAGCCAAATCCATCGTGTTTGATGAGGTCCTTGACGGATGTTGGCATTTGCTCCATGTGGGCCTTCCAACGGCGCAAGACGACCCCAAGATCGCCCCAAGATCGACCAAGAGGCCTCCAAGATGGCCTCATGACGGCCCAAGAGGCCACACGAGGTCCCCAAGACGGCCCAAGAGACTCCAATACGGCCACAACGAATTCCATGACGGCCCTGAAGCGCCCCAAAAGGCACCAAGTCGCCCAGAGAGGCCCCCAAGACAGCTTCCGACAGCGTCAGACGGGCCAGAAACGCCTTCAGACGGCCAGAGAGCCCCCCGAGGAGCCTCCGAAGGCCCCCAAGAGTCCCAAGGAAGCCCCCAAGAGGCCTCCAAGAGGCACCCAGGATGCTCCCAGGAGGTCCAAAGAGTGCCCCAAAAGCTGCTAAGAGGCCTCCTCGCCTTAGATAATGGCACTGATGGCGTGGACCGACCAGGCAATGACGCAGTGGAGACACTGAATACGGAGACTAACTGGACAAAAGAATTTCACGGACAACGGTGGCGGAGCACCGCGGCAAGACATAAGATAACAAAAGCAAGGAAGAAGATGGGGAGAGGAGAGTGGAAGAAGAACAAGAAGAAGAGGAATAAGAAGTGGTGGAGGCGGAATAAGAAGTCGATGAAGACTTTTGGGAAGATGACAGGTAATAAGAGGTGGAGAGAAAGGAAGAAGAGGAGGGCAGAAGAGAAAGGTGGGAGTAGAAGCAGGAGGAGGAGAAGAGGGAGGAGCACGAGTGGAACGAGCTGAGAACGCGATAGCGGGCGAAATGCTGAGGAAGCAGGTGGACACAAGAACTCGGGAAAGCGAGCTGGAGCAGAGAAGCCCGGGTTGAAGTCCAGATACGCCGCGGGGCAGTCGCCAGAACTGGCCTCCTCATCAGTGCAAGGGGCCGTGCACTTGCCGAACATGTTTCCCATGCAGCTGCCTGGCAACGAGGACCGCGCAAGAGGGATTCAATGCGAGGAGGGGCGCGGAAACGAGAGGGGAACGGCAGGAGAGCGACAAAAAGAGCAGGGGGAGGGACGGAATGGGGAAAGATGGAAAAGATGAGGGAAAAACGAACGGGACGATAAGGGAAGATTGGAAGGGGAGAGGAATGGGAAAACGAGCATAAGCATCTGCAAGCCGCGGACAAGCCTCCTATCTCAAGAAGAAGAACGTAGACGCTGACGTAACGGCTGAGAAGGACAAGCCGAAACACCAGCGCGGTAGGCCTAATGGATGGAACCAGCCTGGCGAAGAACCCAACCGATTCTCCAAACGAGGCAGTTATGAACAGGATCCTTGAATACACAAGAATCTGTTGAGCGCTATGTCTCAACGTTTCGCCAATCACGTCAAACCACACTCAACGTTCTGCAATCACGCGCGCACTCGCACGACTCAATCCGCACGAAGGAAGATGGCCACGAACGCGCCGCTGAGCAGGCGGATGGAGGCGGAGGAAGGAGGAGGAATGATATCAGGGGTAACGACTCCTGCGAGCGACAGCACCCCGCGCTACGTCTGCGTTACAGACCAGCGCTATGCGCTATGACCCCCCCCCAAAAAAAACGCGAGGCGATGAGTGTCGCAGATGCCCGCGCAGGTCGCGAGAAGGTGGAGACGGACAGCGCAGTGCGCCACGCGGCGCCCAGGTGCCCCGCGTTCTGCGATGCAACAGCGCCCCCGCGCTGCATGGCCAGACAGCGCCGCGCGCTGTGCGGGCGCCTGCCGCGCATCTACGACAAGACGCAGATAAAGCCACATGCGGTCTGCGTCTCCTCGATCCGCGACGTCTCCTGCAGCTCGCAAACCCCGCAACCTGCGCCGCGGGCCGGGCACGGGGCGAGCCCGAGTGCGGCGCGGGGTCGCTATGAGGCCGAGACCTCGCGAGGGGTGCGCCGAAAGGGGCGGGGGGGGCGCCATGCGAACAAACCCGCGGCCGTCGGTGGAGCTCCCTGGGGGGCAAGAACCGCGTGAGGGGTTTGCCGACATGGGCGGGGGGACGCCCTGCGAACACACCCGCGGCCTTCGGTGGACCTCCGTGGGGGGCAGGAAACGCGTGAGGGGTTTGCCGACATGGGCGGGGGGACGCCATGCGAACACACCCATTGGGGCCCTCGGTGGACCTCCGGGGGGGGCAGGAAACGCGCGAGGGGTGCGCCGAAATGGGCGGGGGGACGCCATGCGAACTTTGCCGCGGACGCCTTCGGCAGAGCTCCCTGCGGGGCCACGATCCTCGTGAGGGGCGTATCGAAATTGGAGGGGGAACGCCATGTGCTGGGGCCCTCGGTGGAGATCCCAGTGGGGCCGCGAAGCGTGTGAGGGGTGTGCCGAAATGGCCCGAAGCCGCCATGCGGACCCTGCCACTAAAACTTGAGTTCCCAATGGGGCCACGAAAAGTGCGAGGGTCAGAGTGACATGGACCCAGAGGACAATGAGAAAGAGGAGGGTGAGGAGGAAGATAACGAGGAAGGACAGGGAAAAGGAGAAGAGAGGAGGAGAAGGGGGAGAAGGAAAGAAAGGGAGGAGGAGGTCAAGGAGGAGACGCGTGGCGCTGCGAATTCAAAACGATGGCCCAACACACAGGAGGGTTGGGAAAAAAACGCGACTGGCAGTGGACAATCGACCCCGCCAAATCCACCGATCCTGAGAACCCCGTGTCGGAACTCCCCAATAATTTCCCGATCCTGCCTCGTCGGGTGCACCAAAGAAGGGGACCAGGAAACTCCGCGAGATGTCAAGGGTTAGCGAGCCATGGCCCGTGGCGTCTGCGCGGACGAGAGGGGGGCCAGAGACCATCTGAAAGAAGAGGGGAAATATGAAACCTCAGAGGTCCCATGGCCATGGCCATGATATCCACCCACCACTGGACCGCACCCCCCGACTTGGACGCCACGGTCTCTGCCACACCCATCGACTCCTGCCCCGCACGCCCGAGCACGGTGCCAGGCCACACCCGTCGACTCACCACGCGCGAGCGCCAAGCTCAACTGCTGCGCTGCGCACGCCGCACGCCTCACCCACGCTTTCAGACTCCGTGCCAAGAGTGAAATGTGTCGACCACCTCCTCCTCCTCCTCCTCCTCCTCCTCCTCCTCCTCCTCCTCCTCCTCCTCCGCCTCCTCCTCCGCCTCCTCCTCCTCCTCCTCCTCCTCCTCCTCCTCCTCCTCCTCACTCCCCCTTTCTGGTCCGCAACCTCTTTCACCCACCCACCCGACGCCCCGAGCATGTTCCGGGAGCCGATTGCCCCCCCGGGATGACGGGGCGTGATTGAACTCCGCGTGGGACGGCACTCCGTTGGGCCCCCGAAAAGCACTCGAACCTGGCGACAGTTTCGCGGATCGCAGCCCCCTAGGGACGGCGGGGTCGAATTTAGGGGCGCGTATGGCGTCACTGCGCTGCCCCCCCCCCCAAGCAGCGTTCGAAAGTGGAAATAATGTCGCAGATCGCAGCCCCCCAGGGACGTCGAGGTCTAAGCTGAATCCGCGTGGGACCCCACCGCGCTGGCCCCCCAGCAGCCCTCGAAAGCGGCGACAGTTTCGCAGGTCGCAGCCCCCCAAGGGATGGGAAGGCAACGTGGGACGGCGAGGCAGGAGGCAGGCTGGCAGGCAGGTATAAGCCAGCTAGAAGGGAGGAGAGGGAAGAAACAGGCAGGTAGGAGGAGGGGAAGGGAGGAGGCAAATCGGGAGGCGGGAGGAGACGCGACCGCCGCACGCGATTCAAAACTGGAACCCAACGCAGGAGGGTTAGGAACGAGCATCGCCTGCATCTCTGAATGACAAATGACCCTGGCGATGTGCCCAACCCTTGCGCGCCACGCGTGGCCAAAGTAGCTGGGCTGACTGTAGAAAAAGGTGGCAACTTGGCCATGAATAGAAGTTCTGCGAGCGCGAGCTGCGCGACTTGCGGGACACCGGCCGATTGACACAAGTGCTTGGTGGAGATGAATCGTTTTTCCCCTGTGCCGAAGGGAACGAGAGGCGAAGACCAAGAGGAGACGGCGGACGAGGATCCTGGAAAATCAAAGGGGCAGCAACAAGAGGACATGGCAACAGGAAGGAAGTGATGACGAGAGAAAGGCAGAGGAAGGAAAGAAATCATGTTTCGAAACCACGCCACCAATCGGCTATAGACAGTGCAAGAATTGTGTGAGGCCAAGCTGCTCTGCCAGCTGCTGGGCCCCTTTCCGGCAGCTTCCGATGCGGGATGCAAAGGCGCGCAGGCGCGTCGCGAGCTCAAATCTGAGTTCACGTAGGACATCACTATGCTGGACCCCCCAGCAGCCCTTGAAAGTGGCGACACTTGCCAAGATCGCAGCCCCCCAGGGATGGCGAGGTCCAATCTGAATCTGCGCAGGACGTCACTCCGCTGGACCCTCCAAAAGCCCTCGAAACTGGCGACGATCTCGCAGATCGCAACCCCCCGAGGGCTGGCGAGATCTAATCTGAACCTGGGTCTGGCGCCACAGCGCTGGCACCCGGAGCAGCCTTCGAAAGTGGCGACACTTCGCAGCCCGCTCCCCAGGGATGGCTAGGTCGAATCTAAGTCTGCGTCGGACGTCACTATGCAGCCCTCGAAAGTGGCGCCGGTTTCGCAGGTAGCACCACGCCAGGGATGGCGGGGTTTAATGTAAATCCGCGCATGGCGTCACCGCGATACCCCCCCCCCAGCAGACCTCGAAAGTGGCGACAGTTTCGCGGGTCGCAGCACCCCAGGGACGGCGAGATTGAATCTGAGTCCACGCATGGCGTCACTGTGCTGGCCCCCCCCCGAAGCCCTCGGATGCTGCAACAGTTTCGCAGGTCCAATCTGAATCCGTGCTGGCCCACCCAGAAAACCTGGAAACATGCGACAGTTTCGAAGATCGCAGCCCCCAAGGGATGGCGATGTCGAATCTGAGTCCGCGAATGGCGTCACAGTGCTGGCTCCCCCCTCAACAGCCCTCGAAAGTGGTGACAGTTTCACAAATCGTGAGCCCGCGAGGTCTAATCTGAATGTGCAGATGGCATCACTGTGCTGGCCCCGAGCCCTCGAGAGTGGCGATAATTACGCAGATAGCAGCCCACCAGGGATGGCGAGGGCTAACCGTCTAACCTAAGTCTGCGCATGGCGTCAGTTTGCTGGCCCCCAGAAGCCCTCGAAAGAGGCGACAGTTACGCAGATCGCAGCACCCCGGGGATGGCGAGGTCGCATCCAAGCGCGCGCAAGGCGACGCCGCACTGCCCCCCCACCCCCAGCGGCCCTCGAGAGTGGCGACGATTTCGCAGATCGCAGCCCCCCCGGGATGGCGAGGCCGAACCTGAATCCGCGCCTGGCGTGGCGAAGATCTGGAGAAAGATTGTAAGATGTGGGGGAGATTCGGCGGAAGATCTGGAGGACGATCTAGAGGAAGCTCTAGGCGAAGATCTGGGGGGGACCTCGAGAAAGCTCTTCAGGGAGATCTGGCGAGATATCTGAACAAGATCTGGAGGAAGATCTGGGAGAAGATCTGGTGGAGATCTGGTGGAAGATCTATAGGGAGATCTGGCGGAAGATTTGGAGAAAGATCTGGGTGACGATCGGGCGGGAGATCCAGCTGAAGATCCGGAGGAAGATTTTGCAAGATATCTGAGAAAGATCTGGGGGGAGATCTTGAGGAGCACCTGGACGAGGATCTGGGGAAGATCTGGAGGAAGATCTGGGCGAAGATCTGGTGGGGGATCTGGGCGAAGATGTGGAGGAACATTTTGTGGACGATCGGTGGGAGATTTGGAAGGAGAACTGAGGGAACATCTGGGCGAAGATCTGGAGGGATATCTCGGGGTAGATCTGGAGGACGCTATGAAAGGACGCTTTGGAAGAAGATCTGGCGGCATATCCGGACAAGGATCCAGAGGTTAAGAAACTGGGCCAGCTTTTTGGAATTCGGTATTGAAATTTAAAAATTTGTGAGACCCAGCTTGGCGGGGGGGTGTTTCTTACTAGAGGTTAGGGGTGCACGAATGAATTGTACACTCTGGCGTTAAAGTGCAATCCGAGACCACATTCTGCCCATTAGCGAGCCCGCTTTGCATATTTCGCAACGGCTTTCGCCCAGGGAGCCTGACAACGACCCCGCCCCACCTCGAAACCAAGGTACCTAAGAGGCCCCAAAACTGCCTCCAAGAGGCCCCTGAGAGGCCTCCAACGATGTCTCAACGAAGATCCAGTAGGCTTCATACCCGTAACCCAGGCACGGTGGTGGAATGGGCCGAAGGCCATGAGGTAGTTGTATTCATGACGGTCAGTTTCAGAGGGAGAGACAGAGACGGAGAGAGAGAGAGAGAGAGAGCGAGGCACAGAAAGAGAGAGACCGAGAGAGAACGGCCAAACTGATAATCACAAGAGACATGGACAAAGGGACAGAGGAAGAGAGGGAGAGGAAGAGGGGAAGGGACGCAGAAGAGAGGGAGGGAGAGAAAGAGAGAGAGAGAGAGACACAGAGATGGACGAAGGATGATAGAAACGCATGGCTCGCGCCTTTGATGTCCGGCTCGTTCGAGCCGAGGAGTATTGTTGCCATCTCCTGACTCCATCCCTCTGCCTTCTCTACCTTCATCCTTCCCTACTCTGTTCTTCCTCCCTCCTCCCTGCTCCTCCATCTCTCCTAACTTCCACTGGCTTCCGGCGCCCGTTCCACCCCCACCTGTCCGGAAATCGCTCGCGTGGCCTGAGCACCTCCATCCCTGACTGTCTCCACCCGATGCTCGTGCACTTCCTCCTCCTTCTCCTCATGCTCCTCACATTCCTTCCACCTGCGTAGATCTGTCGAGGCCAGTTAAGCTTGTGCGTAGAGGAACTCCCAGCGGTCAACTGTGCGTGGGTCTCGCTGTCAGGACTCTGAGCGTCACGTGACATGAAGTCACGAACTGCTCAGAGGATCCTCACAGTGCACAAGACCCGCCCTACGCAACCCAATTTCAGTTCAGTGCACCCTGTCTTCCTATGCCTCCTCCTCCTCCTCCATCGCCTCGTCCGGTTCCCCCCCCTCTTCCTCATCATTTACTTGCTCCACCACCTCATCCTCCACCTACCCTTCCCATTCTCCATGATGTTTCTTCGCCAACGTGGTCCTTGTCACAGCCTAGGGCGCCTAGCGCATTCTCTCCAGTGACGCTTACGTGCATCACCAGCTCGAGAATCGCATCAAAACAAACTGATCCTCATCGCCACATTCTTTTCATGTGAAATTCCTCTTCAAGCTCTTCTGCGTTCCCATTCCACCTCCCTTTCAGCGTACTCCTCGTTGTGGTCCTTCATGTCGTCGACTGCGAAGCTTCCGTGGTCACAACCAAGACTGGCACCATCGGCATCATCAATCTCACTGCCCTCGTCATCATCATCTCCATATGTTTTATCGTCAACAGTCCGTACCGTTGTACTCGTGACCATGCGGAACTGCATTTCTCGTCACCAGCGTCGTCCACCGCCGAAGCTACCCACGCACCGCCGCCACCATCAGTCACCGTTCGTCTACACCTTGATTATCACCTTCCAGCCGGCACAAAAGTCTTTATTGTCGTTATCCCATGAGCATCAGGGTCACCGTCTCTGTCGTCACCGCCAGCGCCCGCCCGCGAGCCCCTCCGCGGGGCTGGTATGGCCGTTGGAGTCCAGGAAGTTCGCCACCCCCGCTGGTCGGAGGTACTGCTCCTCGCTTCGGGGGCGGGGCGGGAAGAGAGGGAAGGGGCGCGGGGGTTGGAGGCCTGAAAATGGGCACCAACACCAACACAGGGGGTTTGCCTCCACAGGGGGAAGGTGATCCTAGATTTCGGGGCTGGTGGTAATATTTCAATCACCTGGAAAGCCAAAATATGACCACCATCACCGAGATCGGGATCCTCTTCCCTCGGTGGAGACACACCTCCGATATTGGTGTTGGTGTCAACCTCTAGGCCTGCGAGGGGGGGGGCCTCGGATGCGCAGGCGTCTGCGGTGGTGCAGTCCGCACGTGAGCGGAGGGCGCGCCCTGCAGACGCCACGAGCGTGCCGTCGTGCCCGCACAGGGCGGACCTCCCCCCCTGGAAGAGGAGCAGGAGGAGGAGGAGCAGGAGGAGGGGGAGGAGGAGGAGGAAGGAGGAGGAGGAGGAGGAGGAGGAGGAGGAAGGAGGAGGCAGGAAGAGGAGGAGGGGGGGAAGCAGGAGGAGCAGGAGATGGAGGAGGAGGAGGAGGAGGAGGAGGAGGAGGAGGAGGGGGGAAGGCAGGAGGGAGAGGGGGCCGAAACCACGAGAGGCGGGGCGTGCCCAGCTCGCGCCGAGGAACGGAGACCGAAGCACTGAATATGAGTCTGGTGCGCTCTCCTGCCCCCCGCACGTATGGGCTCGACACGAGCCGACGTGGGTTCCAGGCCGAGCCGGGTCAGACTGGACCGAACCTGCTGGTCCGGTCTCCCCCTCCTCCTCCTCCTCCTCCTCCTCCTCCTCCTCCTCCTCCTCCTCTTTCTCCTGCTCCTAAGGCTAAGGCGAAAGCTGGTGGCTTCTGAATTCGTCCTGCACGCAGCCATCCCCCCCACACCCTGGGGTCGTTGCACTTGGGCCTTGGGGGGATGATCAATGCAGAGCCCGTAAATGAAAGGTAGGGAAACCACGACGGACGCGAAAGACACAGAAGAGCCTCCCGAAGTAGCTGTCCACCAGGGCCCTGGTGGGAGGGGGGGAGAGGAGAGGATCATATCAACCGAGGAAAGGGATAGAGTGGGGAGAGATAGCGGGAATGGCGTGCGACTGGGAGCTGCGAGTTGCGACGACGGTAAGCTTGGCTTCAAAGAGGCACTGGTTGTAATTAGCATGTGAGCATGCGGCGAGGGAAGGTCAGCGGGGGTTGAATTGGACGCCAAGAGTGAAAGAAGTGGCCAGGCAGCGCTGGCCGTGGCAGCCTTTGCTGCAGGCGGCCGTCGGCTGAGCGTTACTGACCCACCCCACCCCGTCAACCCTCCCCCCTCCCCCCCACGGTGGCGAGAAGCTGCATCGGCGGCACTGCTCTCAGGTGGCTGCGAGGCTGGCGGTGAGGTGGCTGCGAAAGGCGAACGGCTGTCAGGCAATATGCAAGTGGCTAGGTTGGCAAGGTAGCGTGGGCGCGTACAGCTGGGTCCGCAAGACTCCCCAGGAAACGGCACCATATCCCACCTGGTGTACTCAAAGCCCGCCATGGGCTGAGGGTGCCCGAGTCTGGGACGGGGAGCCGTTTCGGGGAATGCCAACCAGCGGCAGGGAGGTTCGCGCCGTACCGCGGCGGCAGCCAGCGGCGTGAACGCCACCCCAACCAAAATCACCTCCGCCTTCACTGCCCCCGACCACCCCACATCCGTTGTTCGCAGAGGCGACGCCGCTAAGCATGAGAGCGAGGTGGCAGCAAGGGCGTGGACAGGTGGCGAAGGCGCGGCGCGGCAGCCGGGCCGCGGCCGCCGTTGCGGTGCGGTGGCAGCCAGCCGTGCGTCCGCTTCCCTCCCAAACCCGCTAACACCCGCCTGCCCCCCCATCCTTGAAAGCTGGGAAGGTGTAGGTTAGCCGGGGGGAGGCGAACAGGCCGATCAAATACAGGGCGAGGGGACAGGCGGGGAGGGAAGGAAGGGTTGGTGAATGGACTCATTAGAAGCCGTCGGCGTCGCATCGGCGATCGAAAGGAGTCGGATCGGCGAACGTCGGCAGCCACGTCGGGAGAAGTCGTATCGGCGCACATCGGCAGGCCAGCAGGCCTCCGCTGCGAAATCGGAATCCAGGTCGGAAGCAGAAGTCGAATCGAATCGGAGTCGGAAGCCCTCGAAATCAGACCGAATGGGATCGGAGGAATCGAAACGAGCCCTACGGAGAAGGCCGCGTACCACCTTCCGCCTCCCAAAGGGGGAGGCGGAGCACGCCACCACTCCCCCGCACGAGCACGCCTCCACGGCGCCGGCGCCCCAGACCTCCGGCATGAAGATGAAGTCCTTCGTGAGGAACTCCTGCAGCTTCGGGAGGCATGCCACTGAACAATTCTCAACGCTCCCGCCACTCCTCCTCCTCCTCCTCCTCCTCCTCCTCCTCCTCCTCCTCCTCCTCCTCCTCCTCCTCCTCCTCCTCCTCCTCCTCCTCCTCCTCCTCCTCCGCCTCCTCCACCAACTGAATCTCCTCCTCCTCCTCCTCCCCTCCTCCCTCCTCCTCCTCTTCCTCTCTCCTCCTCTCCTCCTCATCCTCCTCCTCATCTCCTCCTCATCCTCCTCATCATCATCCTCATCATCATCATCATCCTCTATCATCATTCTTTTCATCTATGCATTCATCATCATCATCATCATATCATCATCATAGCATCCATTCATCATCATCATCATCATCATCCATCATCTCATCATCTCATCATCATCATCATCATCATCTCATCATCATCTTCATCATCATCATCATCATGGTGTCGTCATCTCATCATCATCATTTCATCACCTCATCGGGATCCTCATCTGATCATCATCGTCATCATCATCATCTCACATCTTCTATCATCATCATCGACATCATCATCGAAAATCTCACATCATCATCTCATCATCATCATCATCATCAGCATCATCATCATCATCATCATCATCATCATCTCATCCACCTCCTCTTCCTGAGCCAGCATCATCATCAGCAGCATCAGCATCCATCATCATCAGCATCACATCAGATCATCATCATTCATCATCAGCATTCATCATCATCATCATCAGCATCATCATCATCATCATCATATCACAACGTCACACCATCATCATCACGTCATCATCAGCAGCATCAGTATCATCATCATCATCACCACCATCATCATCATCATCATCATCATCATCATCATCATCATCATCATCATCATCATCATCATCATCATCATCGTCATCGTCATCATCATCATCAACATCATCATCATCAGCATCAGCATCATCATCAGCATCAGCCACATCATCATCATCAACATCGTCATCATCATCACCAAAATCATCAAAATCATCAAAATCGTCAAATCGTCAAAATCATCATCAGCAGCAGCATCGTCATCATCAGCAGCAGCATCATCATCAGCAGCAGCATCATCATGATCATCATCAACAGCAGCATCTTCATCATCATCATCATCATCATCAGCATCATCATCATCATCATCATCGTCATCATCATCATTAGCAGCAGCAGCATCATCATCATCATCATCATCATCATCATCATCATCATCATCATCATCATCATCATTAACAGCAGCAGCAGCAGCAACATCATCAGCAGCAGCAGAGACAGTCCTCTGCAGAACAACCGGGACATGCACGTATGAATCAGGCCAAGACTAATTATACTCAACGGGGGTTGTCTTGCTCGCACGCCTTCGAGCTCGAGAGGCGGTTTCACGAGCAGCTCTATCGATGTGAAGTTCCTCCAGCACCGCATGAAAGCGCCCCGATGCGTGTAACCAACATTGCGAAAATGATCCACATGCCCGCACGCGGCCGCTAAATCCGTGGCGTGGCGGAGCTGCAGAAATCTGCTCAATGGGACAGTCAGTGCTAAGCTCTCCATCACTCTTGTTATCCTCCCAATTCTCCCCTTCTCCTCCTCCTCCTCCTCCTCATCCTCATCCCCATCCTCGTCCTCATCCTCATCCTCATCCTCATCCTCATCCTCATCATCATCATCATCATCATCATCATCATCATCATCATCATCATCATCATCATCATCATCATCATCATCATCGTCATCGTCATCGTCATCGTCATCGTCATCAGCAGCATCAGCAGCATCAGCATCAGCATCAGCATCAGCATCAGCATCATCATCATCATCATCATCATCATCAGCATCATCATCATCATCATCATCATCATCGTCATCATCATCATCATCCTCATCCTCATCCTCATCCTCATCCTCTCCCTCTTCTTCCTCCACTTCCCCTCTCCCTTTCCTTCCGAAATGGACCGTGCGAGTACTACTCTCCTTTCTCCTCCGTACACGTGTTGAGAATGCCCCACCCACTCCGTGGATTGTCTTTTTATACAAGATTCGATGCTTGACCCCTCCAAACGTTACTGGTCCGTCCAAAAGTTTGCGCCCGCTGCAACTTGGGCCTCAGTTTGGGAGATGGGCTTTGCCCCCATCGTTCAGAATGGCACTCTCGCCTCAGCGCTGAATCCGAGTCCTCCCTCATCGCTGTCGCCCCCCGTTTTCCCTCCCCCGCTTTCCCTGGTCCCCCTGTCGCCCCCCGTTTTCCCTCCCCCGCTTTCCCTGGTCCCCCTGATCCTCTCGACCCGTCCACTACAATTCCTGCTAGTGCTGTTCGTACTCGTCCTCCTCCTTCCTCATCCTCCTCATGCTCCTCCTGCTCATTTCCTGCTCATCCACCATCCCATCCTCCCCCTCCTCCCCATCCTCATCCTCAACGTCGGTACGCGGCTCCGCTCTTCCGATTGCGCACAAAACAAGATGAGGACGTGTTGGGAGTTCCAGGTCCGCTAGAACCCGCGTCCGCGGATATAGAAAACAACAGCGCAATGTAGCGGGATGGGTGGGAAGGGCAGGATGTCAGATACGGCGCGAGCGCACCTCGCTTGCCCTCCCACCTCTCCATCTCCCTCTCTTTATCCTGTCCCCGCTAATATCACGCCTCTCCCTTCCCCCCCCCCCCGCTCCCTTCCTCCTGCTTTGCCTCAGCCTTCATCCCTCCCCCCCAAGTTTCTGTCTGTATGTGGGATCTCTCTCTCTCTCGCTCTCTCTATCTCTCTCTGTCGTGTTCGTTCCCTCCCCTCCCCTCCCCTCACCCGTTCGCCTTCCCTCCCGACCCCCCGCCCATCTCCCTCGCCTCCCCCCCTACCCACCCACCCACCCACCCAACCACCCACCCACCCACCCCACCCCCCACAACCACCCCCCACCCCCACCCACCACCACCCCTCGCCCCTCCACCGCATCCCCTGCCACTCCCTACTCCCTTCCCCCCATCCTTGCCCTCATCTCCTCTCCCTCCGCATCCTCCACCCTACTCCAGATTTCGTAATAAAGGGAGGGGGGTCTCATTTCGGGGGGGGGTCTCTTCCAGGCTATCTTGGAGGGCCTGGGATGTCTGGGGACGATGTTTTGAAGGGTTCTCCCACGGGGGAGGTCTGAAATGGCTTGTCTTGGAGGGTCCAGACCCCCTCCCTTTTATTACGAAATCTGGAGTATCCAATCCGTGCCCGCATTCTAATCCCCTCCCCTCCCTTTGCCCCCCCACCCCCCACCTCAGCCCCTCTCCCATCCCCCCCTCCCCCACATCTCTCTGCCTCACCTCTCATTCCCCTTGCCCTCTCCTCCCCTCTCCTCGTCGTCCTCGCCTCCCTCCCCTCTCACTGCCCGTTGCCTCCCGCGGCGCCTCCCCGTCGTCTGTGCTTTCGGGAGCGAGGTTCCAGTTCCAGTAGCTGACCTGACGGAAGATGCTCGCGCGTCCCGCAGGGACCGAAGAGGGGCCGCCAACTCCTCCTCCTCCTCCTCCTCCTCCTCCCTCCCTCCTCCTCCTCCTCCTCCTCCTCCTCCTCCTCCTCCTCCTCCTCCTCCTCCTCCTCGTCCTCCTCCTCCTGTACGAATTGACGGTCCTCTGCTTACATGGTCTTTTGAGCGCGGCGGCGTCGTGAGGCTGCGAGGGCTTCCCCGAGGCCGCGACCCCAGGGGGCCACATGGGCTTGCCGTCGGCTTCTCCTGTGGGCCTGCCTCGGGACTTGCCCATGGGCTCGCCTGAATCTGGAGCCAGGTCCTAATCCGAAGTACGTGCGGTCGCTATTGCTTGCGTCTGTGCAAGCAGTTTGGTGAGTTCAGGACAAAATTTGCTTCTGGCGTTGCATCTGCGACATAATTACGCAGAACCACAATGTTTGCACGCCTGTAGTTGGCAGTGATTGAGGCGACATTAACCCCGAGGCACGCTGAGGCGTGGTAGCACGCCAAGCGCTGTCTGTCCAATTGCCCAAGTGCCCCTGTCTCTCATCATAAATGTCTGCATACACCGCCCCCCTCCCAAGAATGGGGAAGGACATTAAAGCCGCCAAGATGGCCCAACATTGCCTCAGGAGACACCCGACGGTTCCCAAGAAACGCCGATTAGATCGCAAGACGCCCCTGGCCAGCCCGGGCTGTCCCAGATGCCCTCGACAGGCCAAGAGTATGAATCGTCTTGTGTTTTCAATGCGTTTCACTGTGCATGTGTTTTAGGTTTAGGTCGGGCCAGGCGGATTTCGGACGAAAATCAAAGATCCGCCGATCTGGCGTGTGACTTTCTGAGAGCGTGGGCTTGAGCTCGCTCAAGCTTCGCTCTGTGGGGGGGGGGGGGGGGTGGGGGGCTGATGCCATTTTTCCAGGCCCGGGAGGGAGGAGGGGGGGAGGGGGCTGACGCCATTCAGGCTCGGGAAGGAGGAGGGGGGGGGGTCGCTCTGTCGGGAGGGGGGGGAGGGCTGACGCCATTCAGGCCCGGGGGGGGGGAGCTGACGCTATTCATGCCCGGGAGGGAGGAGGGGGGGAGGGCTTCGCACTGTCGGGGGGAGGAGGCTGACGCCATTCATGCCTGGGAGGGAGGAGGGGGGCGAGGGGTGACGCCCATGGGTTTTCAGGACAAGGAGGAGGGGAAGGCGGGCTGACGCCATCAGGCCCGGGAGGGAGGAGGGGGGGGGGAGGGGGGGAAAAGCAATCAGCCCGTGAGGAAAGAGGGGCGGGGGGGGGGTCCTCTGTGGGGGGGCGGGGGGGGCTGACTCCCTTCACGGCTCCGGGAGGGGGAGGGGGGGGGGCTGATTGCAATTCAGGCCCGGGAAGGGAGGAGAGGGGGGGGGGTTCGCTTCCGTCAGGAGGGAGGGGGCTGGACGCCAGTCAGGCCCAGGAGGGAAAAAAGAAAAGAGGGTGCTTGACGCCCTTCAGGCCCGGGAGGGAGGAAGGCGGGGGGGGGGGGGGGGGCTGCGCCATTAGGCCCGGGAGG